TTTTTTTTTAACCTTTCCAAAGTACGTAGGCCCCTAGGGAACGAGGCCGAGACCAGAAACGAACGAGCGGCAGGCCGACCGAGGTTGGAGAAGAAAAAGGAATGTATAACTGTAAGGGAATTAAATTGTATCTGCACCAGGAAAAGCGAGAGTGATCAAACAAAACCACCACCAGAAAGAACAATAGGGAAAAAAATTCAGAAAAGAGAAAAAGGAAAAGAACAGCGATCACCCTGGAGAAGAAGGGGTGAGGTCGAGCGCAACGTTAAGATCCCACACGATAAAGCAATACTCTATCTTAACGACAAGGAAAACCCGTTTCCGGTCTTCTCTTGGCGGATGCACGCGGCACTCTTTCTCTTTGGTTCATATTGATTCGAATCTTTAAACTAAGTACTTTTCTCTCTACACCATCGTACGATCAAGTGAGGGAAAAAACAAGAGTGCCTGTAGTGATTGATTCTTGGTACCATACATTAGCGATAGAGGCATGCAGGTTGGGTACGAGGGATCTCAATACGGTATCAGGGCAACGTCATCTTTAGTTCGTGGGAACGGATTAAGGATGCAAAGGGTGCGATTGACACGAATCCACTCGTGATCATAGCACAGATATACTATTCTTGGACTAGGGGCCAATCTTGTAGAGGATCATAATGTTTGTTTGCTCGAAGGCTGGTGAATGAGAGAACAGAGACAGAGCACGCCATCCCCGTGCCCCCATCAATAATTTAAGGCTAACCAAGGGCAATTTCCTCTCTGCCGACTCCAGGGTGTAAGACAAGCAACCTTGAACGTAAGACATCTTAACCTTATATGATTTGACGGTCAGAATGCGGGGTTTGTTTAGAAAAAAAAAAATGCCCGACATACAAAAAGGGAGGAATATCCCCGACTTCAGCGACTGGTATGTATGTGCATACGTTCCTTACTCGAGCACCCCAGATGAGATGGGGTTTGATGCGTTGTGTAGTAGGTTGTTCCTTTCCAAAGCTCTTTAACTTGTCCGCGGCGAATGAAGAAAATCCTCCATGTGACCAATTCTCATGAGCATTGACCATATAAGATAAACAATTAAGCAGATTCAGATGCTACGTTCCATCCCACAAGATCATTTGAGTTGTGTATTGGGCATGATCAAATCTTTACTGACTTCCATGCCCGTCTCGATAGGTCTAGCCTTCGCGTTGCCTTCGAAAGCGACTATGAGGGACAAAGAAACTGTACATATCGGGTAGTAGGGTTCGGCTTCCACGGGGAAGATACCGGGCGGGCTAGAGATCGGATGAATCCATGCCCGATTGAAAAGTGAATACAGCCCATCCATGGACTATAGAACAGTAAACACAATACCTCTTGCCAGATAATAAAGCTTCAACTATCTGTCTACAACTGTCGAACCAATTATGTATATGCAGTCCCAACATGCAGTAACTATCCTTCAATCCGAGAGACAGTGCCTTTCTCCACATCGCTCTCGGCACCTTTCCCCACCGTAGTCGTCCCACGATGGGCGGCCACCTCCGCCATATCAGTATCATGCGCAACATCGAATTGGCGGCCCAGGCGCTCCGGCCCCAGGAAGGTCACTATAATTGTGTAGGCGTACACACAACCCATGAAGATACAGATGACTTTCCCATACTGGTATCGATGTTTTTCCGTCTTAGTGGGTGGCAGGGGGAAGCGCTCGCCGATCGTGGATTCAATCGTGGAACTGGCCGACGAGACCAGGTTGCCCAACTGGTAGGCCGTTCCCACCGTGAAGGTGCGAATTGCTCCCGGAGACAGCTCCATCAAATGGATGGGGATCACTCCCCACGCGCCCTGCACGCAAAACTGCTCAAAGAACGCTGCGGCCATGACGTCGGTTGAGGTGACGAAGGTGTAGGGATATAGAAGCGCACCACCGACGATGCTGATCACGATGATAGAAAACCGACGCCCAAAGATCTGACTTGCCCACCCACAGAGTGTCCCACCAGTGAGGGCTCCTAGGTTGGCGACAACCTGAGTAACGGTCACTGCGTTGGCAGAGAAGCTAAACTCGCTTTTCAAGAGGGTCGGATACAGGTCTTGTGATCCGTGCGACTACATGAACAAAAGTCTTAGGAGAAAATCTCAAATTAGGTCGTCCAGAGCAGTGACTCACCATGAAGTTGAAACCCGCCATCAGCAAAACGAGATAAATAAGGAGCAACCAATGCCGCTTCAGAGCTGTTTACCTTCTGAGATGAAGGATGACGCTACTCCACCTCGAACGTTTTCTCGAGTAGCCTGCCGCTGAAGGAATGTATTGGTCTCCGGCAGACACAACCGGAAGAGAATAATCAAAACGGGAGGACAGGCGCCAAACCAGTACAGCGGTCTCCATCCATGAGAAGTGGTATCGACCAATCCCCGTGCAAATGCAGTGGCCAGCAGGTAACCGAATGCGTACCCCTGCTGGAGCAGGCCAGACACGATACCTCGCGCTTCCAAGGGACAATCCTCGAGCGCTGTTGCTGCTGCATTTCCATAAAGACCACCCATGGCAATCCCAAAGAGAGCGCGGCAAGCTAAGAACTGCTTATAGGTCTGGCAAAAGCCAGTACCTAACTCCAACACGATAAAGAGGACGTTATTGACAACAAACGGCCACTTCCGACCCCAGCGATCGGAGGCAATTCCGAAGGTGATGGCTCCCACGGATCGAAGCATGAGTACGAGGGTAATTCCCCAGGTGATGTCGGAAACGGATTTATCGAAGGCCTCTGCCAATTGAGAAGTTGTTAGAGAAACCGTGAAAAAGTCAAATGCGTCCCACGACCAGCCTAGAAACGCGACCTAGAGGCGGTTAGCTGTGCCCAGCAGAGGTGAAAGTTAGTAGAGGCACCAAGAAGAAAAGCCATTGTTGTCTATTGAGAAGAGCAAGCGCCTTAAATGGATTAGGGGCGGGATTCATCGGTGGTATCAGCGTCGGCAGTCTCGTCCAGAGATATCTTCCTATACTCAGGTGTTCCATCTCATCGTTGTCCGGCGATGGAGCGTGGTTGCCACCAGGAGGCTTTTCATGAGCTTCTGCCTCCATGGTGAAAGAAGCCAGCTAGGCAGCACAAGAGACGACTGAAAGCAATGGATGAGTTTTGTACAAGAAGATGAGACTGGAACAGGGGGAAGCTCGGGGGTAAGAAAAAAGGAAATTCTTTTCAAAAGGCGAGGGGGTGAGAGAGATCTCCGATTTAAATCTCCGACAAAGCTCAAAACAGAAGGATTCAAGGCCCTGCGCCCAAAATACTGCTAAGGAGGGCCCCGCAAAGTTTCCTCTCCATCCTTGTCGCTGGGGTGGCTGCCGATCGTCAACCTCGGGATGAGGTTGTAAGGACTGATGGTGGTGACGCTTGGGGGGCCTATTTCCTATTCAAGGGCATGGAAGTTCTCGTGGAACAGATGACCCATGGATTGCAAAACGGGAAGAGGACAGTAGTCCGAGTCATGAATGCATACTCCTTGCGGGAAGACCAATATCTGGCTCCATGCATGATGGGATCATCGTTCAATCATCTGACGGTTAGGCTCAGCTTACCCATGGATTGATCCCTCTCTTTAGTACCCATCACATCGCCAAGCTTTTACTCCAGACCGTGCCAAGCGCTCTCCACGTTTTCATCTTTATCTCCAGGTTTTTGGTAGTTGAATGTGCGAGGCTCTCCATTTTGACGCCATTTTTTATCGTTTCTCACGCCCATTTTCTGGCTATCTCAACAGTACCGATACACACTCCCTTCTCGTTGCTTCTCCGATACTGCCACCGGCGTCAAAGAGAACAAACTAGCCGAAGGCTCGGTGCTTACTCTCTAGCCATGGGCCTCGCCCGCGGGGTAGGAGCTCACTAGCGGATTTAGTCCGCACAACCAAGGATCACTACGGTAAAGTCTGACCGTCAGAGCTAACTTTGATTGATCGGCTTCATTCCACAAGACCCATCCACGCCGGCACATCGGCCATGGCCCGACCGGATTGGTGAGCTTCCCGCAACGGCATGCACAGATGCGGTCACAATCAAAACAACTTTCCAGCTGCTGGAATAGCTGCGGTCCCAAGTCACCCGTATCATGAGCGTCACCATATGCGCCATGTGATACGACGGCATTTGCTTCCCGAAGCGCACAGGCGGATGTATAATCTCTTAGTCCAAACTTATGACTCGGCTAGGCACATGCCTTAAAGGACCCGCCGAAGTATCTTTGTGTTCTCCTACCCAAACTCTTGTTTTCCGCCCAGAACCTCTTAATCCCTCTTGGCTTTGTCTTGCCCAGCCGGCCCAGCCGGGGGAAAAAGCTTTTCCAGACAACTTCGTGTTCGCACACAATTCCGAGGTCTATGTAACGGTGCGTCCTTGAGTTACATCATTTCCTTGATTCCAGTGCAAGGGTCAATAGGAACCAATTTAATTATGCTTCGGCTAGTGGGTCAGGATTGCGCATATTTTGACTTTGCCTGTCAATGATTTTATCAGTTTCTTTGTCCCTAATGCTGGGGGACATGACTCAGGATTCTCACTTCATACAATCAATCGGTGGCTGGTACCAACCACGCGGGACACTATGTGACCTAACGCCAAGCGACCGTCCACGACGTGATACCACGTCGCTGGTCGCAAACTGGATTAAATAAGGCTGATAAGATGCCGATCTACATCTCCGCCAACACTTGTAAGCCGTACGTAGTATACATGCGTGTTTGGGCGTTATGCATGCTCCATGTGATACAACGGGAACCATAGTGCGATACAGTATAACTCTCGTCTAGATAATTTCGGTTCGTTAGAGGAGGACAAATGCTCGTAGTAAACCAAGTCACTTAATCTTTCCAAGCACTTAGATCAACAAATGGTTCCTTATGTTACCTAAAGGTTATGCCAGGTGGTGCCGCCCGAAGGAGCGCGAACCTGGATAGCAGCAGCATGCGTACAAAGGTGTCATAGCAGAAACTGCGATTATCCAAGATCAACTACACGGCACGTTCCGAAAGAGTACCTGGATGTCCTCTGCCATATAGATAGAAAAATGTTCCCTCATGCTCCTCTCGAGAGCTCGTCCGTCGTCGTCAGGTGGTAGTCTCATATCAAATGTTGTTATTAGTCGAGCAATAGTTGCCCGGATATTCATAAGGCTAGGGGCTTGCCAATGCAGGTGTAAGGACCTGAAAATATCAGTTGATATCTGGTAGTCGGGAGAATTCACCTGTCTACGTACCTGTTGTAAACGGGGCGAAGGCTGATCTCTCTTTGATCATTTTTGGATACAGGTACCATCGCTCAGGGATAAAGTCCTGGGCATTTTGATAGACACTCTCGGCTAGGACAGAATGTTCATTAGTGCAGAATACCATCGAAATGCTTTGATATAGAATTGCTTACATCGACCAATGACCCACTGCGGGCAGGATACATGCATGTTCCCTGGCACATGCGTGCCACCGATGTTAATTCCCTCCGGCGGCGTCTTCCGTGGGAGATAGCTCGGAACTGGAGAGTGTATGCGGAGTGTCTCGTTGATAACAGCATTTAGATGTTTCAGGATTGCGAGACTTTCCTGAGTGTATTCTCCGTTCGGGTCAGTGGTACAGCCCATTAACTCGGTTCGGAGTTTCTGGACCTCTTCTGGACGACGGGCCAATTCATATATGATTGTCGTCAAAGTCGTCGCCGTAGTGTCCCTATGGCTGTGGGTAACGAGCACACACAGAGTCATACTAGTGGTGACTTACCCTCCTGCATTGATAATCAAAGACGCATCTCCGAGCAGCACATTAAACTCGTCAGGTGTTGGTGCCCGTCCTTTCAGCGGTTCCAGCAGACACGCACTTATATCAGGTATTTCTTGTTTCGTCTACTCCCGTCAGTATGATTGCTCAATGGACGAATTGCTATTCCATCATACCGCCATCCTCATCTTGAAGAGTTGGCCCCAGTATTCGTTGAACTTCCAGAATGCCTTGGTGGTGCCCGGAATGGATAACACTAGTCGGAAGAACCATATTGGCATCAGGTACTCCACCGGCTTGAGCATATCGTGTATCATCAAAATGGCCCAATGGGATGCACTTTTCCCCAACATGTCGAAACTTTGGCCGAATGCTAGGTCGCCCATCACATCATAGCCATACCAGGTGAACAACGTGCCAACATTTACGGGCTTGTCATCTTCCGTCGATTTGATATGGTCGATGAGCTTCTGTCTATATACTTGTATCCGCTTCTCATATCCATGCAGGGCACGGTCAGTAAACCCTGGGTTCCAGGTACGGCGATGTTTGTCGTGGTCAGCCCTATTGCGGTGCGCGTGAAGTGACCTCAGCGGTGCGGAGACATCGTACCATTCACTCTTAGTACACGTAGATTTGAAGCCGTAGATGGCATTGACGGCTTTAGGGTGGACGATTGAGAGATCGGATGGCCCTACCCGGACAAAGTCACCGTATTCATTGTGGAAGTCGGCAAGTTTGCGATAGAGAGTCTTGTGGCGAAGTTGGGCCGATAACCAGAACACTGAAACCCTTGATAAAAAAGGTCCCGGAAATCGCCGAAGTGGATGGAATATGAGACGGTATAGCACGAGGCTGCTGTATAGACCAAGTAAATGGGTGAATATCAGGTACAAGGATTTGGAAATCGCCAAGTTGACAGGGAATTCTTCCGCGTGGTAGAGAAAGGCTGCGATACCGATGAATGATCCGAAGTAGCCGTAAAGGTACCTAGCTGGATATAGATGATGCTCGCCCATACGAAAGTAAAGTATATGGATCAAGATGCCAAGGGCAAAGGTGTACAGAGCTGACTTTTCCTTGATATCCATGATGTAGTTTGTGAGCAGCGAAGGGTGTAATAACATTTGAAGGGACAGATTACCCTCAAATACCCAAATCATAGTCTAGATCAGCTGATAACCTTGGTTTCGGAGCTTATAATTGAGAAGTGGAAGCTTAACTACTTCAGACCCCGTGGTATAACCTCGTCGCACGAGCAACTTTCCGTGGAACATATATTCGGCTACAAAATATCAGCAGTTGCACAATTGTATGTATATAGTCTGCAATCCTGGTATAATAAAACTTTATCTTGGACAAAACCCGGGAAGGAGGACGAGCAACGTATAGTGCATTATCATTTGTACTAGATAGACCTCAGAGTGCATTCCACGGCATGTATGCATTGCAGCAGACCAGGGATGAGCGAGTCTGTCTTTTACCGGTTTAGCTGCCGAAGTTCCTAAACTCGACTTGAATAGCTTGGGGTTAGCCAACGAGTCACAAGATATATGTGAGTGTTTGACTTTATAGCTACATGGTGCTCCCTGTCTTTAGCTTACTTACAATCTTATCTGTGGTACAGATAATCAGCATGGGTAATACGAGAAGTGCTCTAGCTTTTGAATGTGCTTCTCCGCAGTAGTGGAACATGGGATCTCCATCAGTTTGTCTAGCACGACCGACTGATATGGAAATGTGGCAGCCGAGATGCAGGGCAACAATGATATGGGACGAACTAGATCATCCGATGGTTCTAGCTTAAAAGAGATGATTCCTTTGTTCTGTCAAATGGTTCAGAGAGGTCGATATCTGCAGTCAGATTGCCCTAGTATAGATATACTGATGATTAACACCTATCTCTGTTTGATATCCATTGATGCTGAGTCTGGATGGATGCTTCAGTTTACCTTGTTTGGATAAGGCATTCGCCGTGACTCGTTTCTGTTTCATCCCAGTTTCTTCCACTCATCTTCCGTCATTCCCAGTCCATCGGGAGAGCTTTGTCGACTGCTTATATGTCACTTAATTACCTTTTACTGGTGTAGCCGGAATCCAACGAAGTTCATTTCAGAAAGGTTTACCAAGTGAACCTAGCTCGACTTGGTACCACACAGGGCCGTGGTGGCTGGACAGTGTGACTCCTCGACATGGTGGTAAGTACTAGTATTACCCACCATAGTGGGAAAATGAACCATGAGCTTTAACTGACAGAATGGGAATGCTTGGGATAGATTCTCGAAAACTATACATTTCTTGATACGAACGGCGAGCATTTCCCGAGCGATGCTATTTTCCACCAATCATCAGATCTCGATCGTACCCTTCAAAGCCTGGATACACTGTTGCTTGGAGTCTTGGCTACTAAGCAATATCGGTCTTCATAACGGTTTATTCAGCCTAAATGCATCGTTTATCCACATAGCTTTCAGATCATCACCCATCAGAGAAGAAGTTGACACGAAATTTACCCCGCATAGCTGAAGCCAAGATGCGAAATAATTGCCCATACCAACATGCATTTTGCCGTTATACCAGGAGTACCTGGGGGTTTATTAAGGCGGCCGCTCTACGCCATGTCAAGTAACCTCTACGTCTACGCCTGATCACTAGAAATTACTGGAGGCCGATACGTCCGCAAGAAACCATACCCATCGCTTATCGGATCAAGAGAAAATCACTACAATGTCTTCTGGGATTCTGAAAGTTAAAGGCAGCAAAATCGTCGATGGTGACGGCAAAGAGGTCCTCCTTCGGGGTGCAGCCATCGGAGGATGGATGAAGTACGTCGCTTCCAGTTACTCTTGGTACCACGCCTTGCTATACTAATACCGTGTCACTTCTAGTATGGAGAACTTTATTACAGGATACCCAGGTCATGAATCGCAACACCGTGCTGCAATGAAGAAAGTTTTGGGGCCAGAGAAATACGAGTTCTTCTTTGACAGATGGCTAGAATGTTTCTTCACAGAGGCGGATGCCAAGTTCTTTGCCGGACTGGGATTGAATTGTATTCGAATCCCTTTCAACTATCGCCATCTAGAGGATGATATGAATCCACGCGTGCTCAAAGAGTCCGGGTTCAAACATTTAGATCGAGTGGTAGACTTGGTAGGCTTTCCCATGGAACCGATATTAAATTTATTGATTGAAGAACAACGCTCACTATTAATCACGATTACAGTGCGCAAAGCAGAATATCTACACTATACTGGACATGCACACGGCTCCTGGCGGTCAAAATGGTGACTGGCATTCAGATAACTTTACCAGTTACGCTGCATTTTGGGACTACAAGGACCACCAGGACAGAACAGTATGGCTATGGGAACAGATTGCGACTAGATACAGGTCTAACCCATGGGTCGCTGGGTATAATCCTCTCAACGAACCGTGTGACCCCGAACATGTTAGACTCCCTGCGTTTTATGAGCGGGTGGAGAAGGCTATCCGTGCCGTTGACCCAGACCATATCCTGTGGCTAGATGGCAATACGTTTGCCATGGAGTGGAAAGGCTTTGATAAGGTCCTTCCGAACTGTGTTTACTCCATCCATGACTACGCTGTATGCGCTCCTTCTCATTGCTCCGTATCTCATACTCTAATCCAAAATGAACACCAACACTAACGATGAAACGAAGTCAATGGGTTTCCCAACAGGCGAACGCTACAAGGGCACAACCGAGCAAAAAGCTCATCTCGAACGCACCTATCTCCGCAAAGTCCAACATCTGAACGAGAAAGGCTCAGCAATCTGGAATGGCGAATTCGGCCCCGTCTATGCGGACCCCCACGCCGATCCAGAAGCCTCAATCATCAACCAAGAACGCTACAATCTTCTCGGCGAGCAGCTCCGCATCTATGACAAATACAACATCCACTGGTCCATCTGGCTATACAAAGACATTGGGCTCCAAGGCATGATCTACACGAGCCCAGATAGCAAATGGAACAAGACCATCCAGCCCTTCCTAGAGAAGAAGAATAATTTCTGGCTGGATTGCTGGGGAAGACGGCCGAGCGCTGAGCCTGAAGCGGCGCTGAAACCGCTTGTTGAATGGATTGACAAGGTCAGTCCTCAGGCGAAAGAGACATATCCTACGCCATGGAATACGGAGAGGCATTTATTGCGGAATGTGTTCCAGACGTTTTTGGCGGCTTCTTTTGCGGATGAGTTTGCGGAGTTGTTCCGGGGCATGAATGAGGCGGAATTGGATTCTTTGGCGCGGAGCTTCCATTTCGAGGAGTGTGTGCAGCGGGATGGACTGAATGAGATCCTGAGAGAACATGCTCATGCTCGCGAGGCTTAGTTGAGATACTATAGTTGAGAGTAGGTATACACCTTGTGGTACAAGAGCCACGCGTAGTGTACACCAAACGATATCAAGTCTCACTTGGGATCTGAATTGTATCGAAAGACAAATCAATGACTTCCATAAAGTCATTTATCTCAATTGAAGCAAACCCAACCTGCTCAGTAGCAAGTACACGGCAACATAATAATGCTGCCCGAAGTTTGGTGTACATATATATATATCTCCCAAACCAAGAGGACAATATAACCTTACCAGGCATATATCTATAGATACAACAAAAGCATAACACCATTCAAAACCCATTATATGTGCTGTTAGGGTATCTGTAAATACAGACATTGATGCATAAACGTGCAGAATGCTCAACACCAAGCTCCATATGAACTAACGCTTGTTTGTACCGAATCCAAAGACAATGAAATACCATGAAATAAAAAGATGTTCGTAATCTTGCAGCGATTTCGGAGGGGAGAGAATTCTCTGAAAAGCTGGCTCATGTGTGATGTATGTATTTCGTATTGCGTAGATGATGTTACCAATCCTGACCACGGTCCTTCATCAAGATTTCGATAGCCTCATCTTCGGGAACTGGGTTATCGTTTAGTTCCTTAACACACTCCGTCAAACCTTCGGCAGCTTCGTCAACTTGCTCGGCTGTCCAGTTAGTGCAGGCCATGACCATTCGCCGATAGCTCTGACCTAGCACCACATTCTTGGATTTGAGGCGGTCGATTTCATTCATGATTTCTTCGTTAAATCCTTCATAACCCTGTATGCGTTGCTGTAGAGCCGCGGTAGATGGTAACGAGTTTAAGAAAGCAGTTTGTTGTTCGGAAAACCCAGAGGTAGGATCAAAGTTCTCCGGGAAGATAACTTCGAAGTTGTCGATATCGATACCAGAGTCTTTGTCAGCATCACCGACAGACATCACTCTCGATGCATCATATGAATCACCATGGATGTTCTTTAGAAGTACAAGCAGGTCTTGAGATGACATCTCAAGGTTTTTGAAGCGCCTGCTCAGTCCTATACGATCTGAGGCTTTGCGCCTGAGCTCGTCAAGTTGTTTCTGTTCAATTTGCCGAGCTTTCGCTGACTCGCGGATTTTTGAATGCCAATGCTCAAACTTCTCGTGTTTTTTAGCGAGATTTGTGGCCAGTTCTTTGTCAAGACCTCCTAGTGTTTCCTGTACTATCGTGCTAATTTGGGCCAGTGTTGCTGCACAAAGTGTCAGTGGGTCAAGGTCTTTATGACGATCAATGTAGTTGCCTTCTTACCATCGAGAATTTCCTTCTTAGTTTTGGCTAGTTGGTCCATAAAGGAATCATTCTTGGTTCCAGATTGCTGAGATTGCGAATTCCCATCAACCATATCTACACCCACGCCATAGTCCGCAGGCCGAAGACCAGTATGATTTGGTATGTGAGGGTCTGCACCCACTTCCAATAACTGCGGCACAAGCACAGAACGTGCGCGCCCCGCTAGATTCAATGCTGTGTCACCTTGATCATCGCGGAGATTCACGATTTCTGAAATAAATCGGCCAAGCGTAATAACCTCACCGGGCTGTTCAATGTTTGTTCCATTTTCGAGCCCGCTCGGGGTTTGTTGGCCCAGCGCACTACCTCCATGTCGGACTATAAATTCCAGTAAACCCTCCAAGTAATGCTTCGCTGACACATGGCCGCCGCCGCCTGTTGCAGCCATTACGGCGATATGGTGAAGAATCGTTCGCCCACTGTAATCAACCATGTCAATCGTTGGAGCAAGAACCTGCAGCAAGCGTGGGAAGCTTCTATAGTCATAATTGTTCCTTGTTCCTACAGATTTCTGTAATGCAGTTTCACCTGCACCATTAAGTCGGAATATACTAACGCCTTTCTCGACAAGCGCATGAACAAGGGGCATACGAGCAAGCATTGCAGCCCAGTGCAGAGCATTGTTCCGATACTCATCGAGCGGAGTCTCCAAGTCGTAACCAGTTAGCTGCATCAAGGCAGGATGATTGGAAAAATCTTTGGTCCGCTTATCGAGGAACAAGGTCATAATGAGCTTCATCTTTTGGAATCTTTCCGGAGTTGTCGCTGGAGGAAGAGGTTCAACGCCGCGCTTGTTACCATCAACCATAGAAGTTGACATATCCATATCTTGATAAAAGGAATCGTTGGGTTCGGTTGGGGTTGCTTCAGTCATCGACAACGTCGAAGGTTCATAATGGAGTCCGAACGAATGTGCATGGTTGGAAGAAGACCGGACACGCTTGCGAGGAGGTTCAACAAACTCATCGTGATCAAATGCTGGGGTATCATGGGGGTGTCGGCCATTGTGGTGGATGTTATTTCCGAATCCGTTGTCAGATGCCATGCTGTACATGCTCTGTTGACTGGCGAAAGGAAGCTGCGATTCTTGACTACCCGTCTGATTCGAAGATTTCCGTATGACACTTGATCGCCTGCCATCGACACCTCTTGCTGCGGGAGAATCAAAGCGAGCTTTACTCATAGCGTTGACCGCTGTAGCGGCGGTGCGAGAAATGTTCTGGAAGAAAGTGCCCTGTTGTGGTTGAGACATATTACGATTGTCCATGCCGCTGTAGAGCCGTTTTCTCTGCGCAGCCATCGCCTGTTCCTTCGTGGGAGTATCTAAAGAGTCCTGCGCGGAACCAGTGGTGCCGTTGGGACCCATGTCGTATTCAAGAAGAGGCCTCAGCATTTCCTCGACGTGGTATTCGCGACAAAGTTCCACGCCCCTCTGATAGTTTACCCATGTACCTTGGTATTTACCATAGCCTCCCTGAACCTTCTCATGCTCACCAGCCGCTATTTCCTTTTCGAGCGTCTTCGTTCTTCTCGCCTTGACAACGCCGGCAACTTTGAGGATCTGGGTGGCATTTAACCAAGAGTCCGAACGACGCTTCATAACAGCGACTCCATTAACTTCCATTTCGTAGACAGAAACATTGGAATAAACTGCCTATATATGAACAGGGGCGTCAACATGGAATGGGCCTCAAAAAGTAAAGACCGCGCGGTCACACAAGGATAGGATAGGATAGAACATACTCTGTAGATTTGAGGCTTGATCTCCTCTTGATATGTCACCATTGTCCCATAACCATTCATGTCTTCAAAGCCGTTGAAACTACCTCGCGCACCATGTGGTAGGCCATTCGAATAGGTAAAAGACATTGCCGACTGTTGCGATCCTTTCGGAGGGGGTGTGCCTCGAGGAGTTGTTGCCACGGACTGGGAAGCATTGAAAGAGCCAAGTTGCGATTGCGAAAATGACATCCCATTGGCAGACCCAATGCTACTTTGAGAATATGACATGGGTAGGCTTGGACGCGGTGGGTGGTGACTGTTGGAAACCATTGCGCTTGTTTAACTTCGGTATTGGGGCCCCCAACCCAGGCACCCTACACATATATTTGACGGTTAGATCCTTAAGAGTCTCAGCTTCGTCGAATGAAATAGCTTAACAACTTTTTGCCGGGCAAAAACAAATAAAAATAAAAAATACAAAAATAAAAAAGCAGAGCGAGGGAGTCAAGGCATGTGGGGAAATGCACCTATCCTAAGGATCGACCGGATTCGCGCGAAGAGGCGAGAGGCGCGTGGTTTAGCGCACCGGTCGCGAAAGGGATAGCACAGCTGGACCCGAACGTCTCCCGTTCAAGAAGACAGTATCACCCACCAAGAAGGTTAGAGAATTGTATTAAAAGGATCAGAGACCAGTCTTCTTCACTTTTGCGCCTTGAACTAATCATGCAAGCCTCGACAACGAAGAGAAAGTCGCGGGGTGGCTACTTAGTCGCGTTTTGGGTTTAGCGTTTTTCGGTTTTCGCGTTAACAACCGTCGAGTCATGTTATTTCCCAAGCTCCGCCTCGGACAGTCAAAGTTCTTCCGAGCTCATGTACATCGTTGGCCTACAACATGGGGAGGAAGGAGGCCGTCGCAGCTGCGAAACTAGCGCTCGTCAATCCATGGAAACAACATTCATGGCGTCATTATTTTCGTGCTCTACTTCGCCAATGTTCCTACCTACCAGACCCCGTTGCGAAATGTAATCTGCATGACTTTGTTGTTCAAAGATTTCGACGTTACGTGATAGAAGAAAGACGTCCATGGATTAGATGGAATGCCGAGCGGCAGATTATTCTGTTTAATGAAGTAAAGGATACCCTGTCATTACTGAAGCGGGCGAACGCAGGATATTCCAAGCCACTCGAAAAAGTCATCCGAATGGCATACGGACGAAAAGGGAGACGAAGGAAGGAATTACTGAGCGCTTTGATTGCCCCCGATGTTCCTGCGAATAATACGGCTGTGGAAGAGGCCCTTCAACGACCCGAAAAATATGAAGATGGCTGGGAACCTCCATCAATTGTGATAGAGCTTCTGAAGTCCCAGCAGAACAACGGGATTCTCTCGCAACTAAACATTCGCCAAGTGAAACACCTTGAGCCGCCCATACCTAAGAAGTGCATCTGGGGAGATGGAGTGGCCAAGTCACGAAGGAGAAACATACGGAAAGATTGGTATACTGATGTCCTCGATCACCTCCTTCCGCCACTACCTGACCCCGACCTGGGCATGTTGCAAGGATTGGTTTCAGGAGAAATGCCATGGAACCCGCCCGAATGGAGGAAACCAGTGAACCTTTCCGAAAGACAAAAGAAGATTAGGCGATTAACCCGCAGTTATCTAAGAGCACTATTAAAAGATGGTCCTGTAAAAGGCCCAACATTCAAGCCTTACTCCAAAGGACGCCCTCATGTCATCACGAGACGATTTATGCAAAGAATCTGGAGGCGCACACTGTGCCTGATCCCACACATGGAGTGGGACGAGACTGCTAAAAAGCACACCTTCACATGGGACCCGGCCAAGCCAACGCTTAGGCTCGGCATTCCCGGCGCACCTGAAATATTTGAGGACGTTGATGAACAGGGGAAGGTAACTACGACGCCAACTGGTTTGCTTCCTGGTGGAATACGGGACAGAGGCCGCAAGCCATTCCGGGAGACGCCCTTTGAAATGGGGTTAGAACCAAAACATATAATCAACGAGCAAAGAAGCAACCGCCCACATGACCTCCTCGATTTTGACATCAAAGACAAAAGATCATACAGGAAGCTACACGGAAGACCTTCGCGCATGCAGTCCGACAAATCACCCAGAAAACGTGACCGTTAGGTATAGACTTAAGGTCTTCTAAATTCCAGAACCTACGACTCTTCATCTAATGAAGGTATGACAACGCCTCTGGTGTAAATACGATATCTAGCAACATGAACGTGCAGGGTCAATCAACACCATGGAAAATCTGTAATAAAACATATCCCATTGCCTGATCGATAACAGTCAAAGCTGCAGACACGAAGGAGCAACCTGAGAAAGAACGACTGGGCCTTTTCGATTGTGAATCGAGTGTATTTCTACCAGATATCATAATTTCTTGTGTGGTCAGGACCACACCAATTATCACAAAATATTCTCTTCTATGATCATTTTAAGTCGCCCTATATGTACACCTCAACGTACAGCATTACTTTCCCACTAGAAACGAAGTAATCTGTTGCGCCTGAAAAGCTTCCTGCCCTGTTTCTTTCGTGACCGAGCATCAGCCATTTCAGAAGCAGGAAAGTGAAAGGATATCACCTACTTATACGAAGTCAGTAATCATTAAGTCCCAAGTCCATGCTCCAGTGATTCATTTGCAGTCGCATTATGACCATCAGCGCATACATTAACTGGCAAAGCCTGCCTCGTCCAGATACCGCTGCACGTTCAGACTATAAGCCGCTATTGCTACAGGTGATTCTAGGCTTCTCACTCTCTCCTATCCACAACGGGACTTGGGCATATTCATTGGTTGTATCCTCTCCTCCCCGTGGTCCAATAAATTGGATGGAGCCTGGTTTTTCCCAACGCCTCCATTGCCAAGCTGCTTGGACCAGGCGAAAGATTTAAATATTGTCCTACGGCAGTCCTCCATACAAGCCACCTTTATTCCGACGAGCGATATAATGATAGGACAGTCCGCGCATGCTCACCTTCTTCCTTTAGCTTCATGAATAGGAAGGGCTATCCGAGCTGAGTCTCGAGATGGGTAGATAGCAGTCTTCTTCAGGCGAGTGAGTAGTCTAGATGATATTGACCCCTCTAATAGGAAAGGACTCTGACAATATACTTGTATTTAGCATGCGTACTGATGTTTTGTACATAGCTCGTATACTATAGACATTGCTGAGCAATACTTCCGTCTTTAACCTAGGGCATATCTGGTAAGCATTATTGACTCGGTCGTCTGTTATAAAAACCTTGTTTTATTTCCTGACCGCAACGACAAACAAGCGTGGATAGGGTAGCAGAACCCGACCATCGATCAACTTGGGATATGCACTCTCCAACCGTTTCAGATAGTCGCTCAAAAACGCTTCCTTATCTTGCAGCGACAATGGATCAACATAGGGTCTTAACCCGGTGCCCTTTACCCACTCCACGATGGCTTTATGATCCTCAAGTGAGTGGTAGTACTCAGTTCTAAAAATGTTCACCTCAGAAGACAAATCCTTCAGTTGATCATATATTTCCTGTGGTGACTGAAAGGTATCTCTGCCGACATTGCTGAGAGTGGACGCCCAGGGGCCATTAATGGCAACCTCCCTCATCAGGACATGGGAGGGCTCCATTAGATTGTCTGGCACTTGAAAGGCAAACACTCCTCCAGAAGGTTGAGTCTCCATTAGGCCCTTAATGACTACAATCCGCTCTTCTTTCTTTAGCCATTGGAAAACAGCATTGGAAAAGAAAAGATCGACTGACGGAGGCGGAGAATAGGACCGCAGATCTTCGACGCTGAACTCATAGGCTGGGAGAGACGACTTCGCTTTCTGGATCATGTCGGGTGATGAATCCATTCCCACGATATGAGCATCAGGGTAACGAGTCGCCAAAACGGCGGTTGAATTGCCCGGTCCACAGCCCAGATCAACTATTCTTCTTGGGGCTTGGAGAGGAACCCGAGCAAGGAGGTCGCGAGCCGGCATAGTCCGCTCATCTTCAAACTTCAGATATTGAGTGGCGCTCCAGTCATTTGTAGACATGACTCTTGATGAGAAGGATAGTGCTCTATAATTCGATAACTGTGTGAGGGATGACTTCCCGAAGAGCAAGGCGCGTCTTGTAAGCAACGATTGAGTATAGGTAAACATGAGGTAGAAGGATAAATGGTAGCTTGGCAATGTCGTCAAAGAAGTCAATTTTCTTGAGAGGTAAGATTCTAGTTGTAAGTTTTATCGGCCTGGATTATATACAATGAATACTGTTCGATATTGATGGGAATTAGACAATAGATATACTATTGTAGCATTGCTAGCAATTCTGATTGACCAGGTACACTTGGATAGTAGCGAAAATCGGAGGTTCCGGATTTAGCTAGATGCATATCGGATCAGCTCTGAAACCTTGCCTATTACTACAGGCCAGTGTTCCTCCGATTAACAATCAATAACGCCGTCGCTCTATGTTTTCTCTATCATCGTAGACATGGATACTGGGGGAGCTGATTTTTGGGACTTCATCAGGTGCGGTTACGGTTCCCAGTTTCTCATATCGGAGCAGCGCAAATATCAGAGCTCTCCGTACATACAGCATAAAAGGGTCTTTGTGGCAAAGAGAAAGAGACATTATACGATCGATAGTCAACCTTGAGAGCGATTGGGAATGCTCATTATGATGCACTTGCTAGTATTTACTAAATACAGAAACTTCTCTAACATGATATCGATCGACTTAAAAACTCCTGTTTCTGTACTATGTATGGGTCGTTCTTTGATTAACACAGCCCCTTTTACCCCGCGAAGCCACATTGTTCCTTCCTTCACTTGTCAGCTGTCATTCCCAAGTAGAAAAGTAACCTCAATAATTGTCTGACTCAAGGCTTTCGACTTCCTCTCTTGGCTTGCATTCTTGGCTTTGATCCACATACTGTTGCACACCTCATAACATTATAAGCTTACCCAGGTACTCATCATGTCTGACCAGTACGGTGGCCACCAATACAATCAGTACGGGGCACCGCCACATGGCGATAACCAGTATGGTGCATATGGAGGCCAGCCAGGTAACTACCCTGCACAAAACCAATATGGGCAGCCTCCGCAGCAAGGCTACTATCAATCTACAGTATGTCAAACTTGAGTGCTGTCTTCCCTCCCTATACGTACTACTTGGGACCATGCATCCACCGCGGCTATCGCTGCATGAGAGTGGAACTATTTCTTGGCTTCTCACTATCTACTAACACTTTCATGTTACAACTTATCTCAGCCTGCGTACGATCAGCAACCTCACCCCCAATATCCATCGTACGGCCAGCAGCAGAATTATCCCCCACCCTACGGTGCCGGCCCCCAGCAAGGAGGTTATCCTGGCGATTATAGCCACGGACAAGGCTCGTATATGAACCCACCGCAAGCCGGTGGCCACTCCCCCTACCCCCAGCAGCAATCTCGCCAGGGTGAGAGTGCTTCATATTACGGCGATAGCTCGCAGTCGGGTTACGCATCTCACGCAGGACACGCCCCTGGCCCGGCGGGACAGGAAGGGGAGAGAGGGCTTGGTTCGTCGATTCTTGGCGCTGCCGGGGGTGGTTTCGTTGGCCATAAGCTTGGGGGCGGACTACTAGGTACGGCAGGAGGTGCATTGGTTGGAGCTGCAGGCGCGAATCTAGTCAGCAAAGCGTACGTCTGTCATACATGATCGTTATCTGCTGAATATCTATTAGATTCTGCATGCTAACTCTGTGAAACAGTCACAAGAAGCACAAGAAAGATAAAAAGCACAAAAAGATAAGAAACACCACAAGCGCAAGTCCAGTTCCAGCTCGTCGAGCTCGAGCTCAAGCTCCTCTTCCAGTGATTAGGTGGCTCATAAGGGGCAAACGATGTGGTAACACCAGTGATACTTCTTTTTGCATTATCATGGCCACAAGAGCAGGAACAGGATATCTTATCTGTACCAGAAGCTGGTATTAGTGTTGGTCTGTTGTTGCTGAAGCTTTTCGTTTTCTGTATGTCCCTATCCTTAGCTGAACCAATATTGCAGTTTGAGACTATGAGACAACGTATAGCTGCATTCCTTGGTTGCCATTCATAATGGCCACATGCCTCCATGGTGCTTGCATTACCCAACCTACTGTGTATAAAAAACTCCACTTGAACAAGACTAGGAGCTTAACGTAGAGTGGAACCTCTGAGAATCAGGAAAAGACAACATGGACAATGACATCAAGTATGGTAGCCCCATTGGTCTTTGAGATACCATATCGCCACACGCGAATCTGCTCTGCGTCGGATACTTCCATTTCTGCGGGTCAAATCCGACAACTTTAAAGAATAATCACGGGATATATGACGCCGTTGAATTTTTTTTTTTTTTTTCTTTTTTTCCCCCGTTTAGGTTTTGCGGGCTTGAGCCGATGAAATACCGAGTGGTGCCGCCGGATGGTATGACCCGGTAGCCTCCCTACACCGTGAATGTGCTAGTAGAAGGCTCTTGAGAAGTTAGGAAGCTGTCGGATAAGGCAAAAAACGATAAGAGGTTGAACCACTTAAGCTTGCGATGACAGAAGTGGCGAATTCATGTGCTGCCGGTAGCTACTAAAAAGGCAATATTGGTCCACACTAGGTAGACATGCACATACACTAGGCGGACAGGACTGGCGAGCTTTGGTTTCTTTCTTTTTTTTTTATTATTGAAGTGGGAAAATTCCATTTGAACAACATTGATTGGTGGGTTGGTGTCAAGTGGCAATAGTAGGCAATACTACGAGTAATGATGACTGTGCTACTAATCATTGAATAGTCATTTGGTGGTGAGAATTAGATGAGTAAGAGAGTAAGTACAGTGCTGGATCATTAAAATAACATGGATTATAGGGGTAAAAGAAAAAGATATTCATTATTATTCTTCTTCTTCCTGAGGAACTGTCTAGAACGACTATGGAAGGATGGCACTTCAACCATACAACAGATGATGACGGGATAATTTTGATTACGTTGTCTAGTATGAATCACAAGTAAGGGTGATTCGTTCAAACCTTGGCTAAAAGAAAAAAAAATATTACTCCATAGTAGGAATGTAAAACTTTTAAACAATGAATCTATGGGTCAAAGAATGATTCGCTGGGTGGTTTTATTAGCTCGTGAAAATTTTACTTCAACAGGAGGAAATTTTTTTTTCACGTTCCCCTTTTGTTTTCTTATTGCCACTCATCTCCGAGGTTTTCGCGGGGGATAAGGATAAGGAGTGGGAAAATCCGGAGATTTGAACTTAAGCGTGAAGGATGGGACGAAAAAAAAAGTCAAAATTCGATGGTTGATAAGGGATACTGACGATAAGGGTTTTTTTTGACTTTATCATTTCTCCGTCTGGAGTTCGACAGATCATCAGCGCTGCATAGTCTTGCATACGCTCGTCCCCTGTGTACATATCACAGGCATTAACGCAGGATATAGCCTGCCAGGATGAAAAGCACGCATTCAGCGGTGTGATTTAACTCTCATCCAAATTGGCGGTGATGCGTCGTCTTACTTGGCTGCGACATGTAAGCCATCGTTTCAGCCGTTGGGTTGCGACGAGTAAGCGGTCGACTTGTCGACCCCCGAATATATCCCTGGATGCTTTGTTTCTCTTTTGGTCAAAGAAGTATCATCTGGGCTCCGTGTCGTAGAACAATCCATCTTTGAAGTACTCCTAACATCCCCCTTTCAATCGATCAACTACTGTAGGTCCCAATTCGGCGCAAAAGAAAAAGGATAGACTACCAGAAGATATTGCTGCTTGTACTTATGGAACATGAACCAGACAGTTGTTCAATATATTATCTAGTCGCTTACGGCGGCCTGGACGACACGGATCACTGTGATGTACAACTATGTATGTCAACGTAGCAAACGCTGAGTTGGGACAATTCAATATCAGCTCAGCCATCCATAACCCGCGGCAGGTTTGAGATGACGGAAGAGTACGGCGAAGGCTCTCAATAGTCCATGGCTCTGGTCAACTCTAAACGCCTTGTGTTTCCTCGTATTTAGTTCTCCTTTTTTATTTTTATTCTCATTTTTTATTTTTATCTTTTTTTTATCCAAAGAAGGCTTCGAATGTCTAGAAACTCGGCTGCGCCACCTAAAGTCTGGGGGAGCGATCTGAGGGTGGCAACAGAAATAGCACCAGCACCTGCAGGCCCAACCCATTCATTCACACGGGAACGGACACTAATCATGGTGGATTAGCCAGTGTTGCATCCCCGGATTCATGCCCTGTCAGGGACTGAAATACATTAGCCTAGCCCGCTAAGGATATTCAAGGGATGCGCGCTATCCTACCGCCTGTAAGTTTAGTTGGAGGGCGGAGGGATACCATCAGCCTGTCGCCATAATTCTGTAACCGCCCGTGAATCCTAGTAGATATTGATCAGGAAAAAGTGATTCAAGGACTCACTACAGAGTACAGAATCCCTTGTCAAGGGGCTGACAGCCTTGTTTCCCGTTTGCCCTTAATAGATGTAGTAGTTTGCAGTTGCAATGGGGCCAACTGGCGGAAACAACGGCATCCTCATACTAGTAACTACGACTAACAAGAGTAGTATTTTTAGTCGCCTCAGGCCGAAATTACTTTTATTGAATCCGCGACGCCTATCAATGCCTTTCCTTTAAGGCAAAACCCCGATTGCTGGAATTTATTCATAACGGTCAAAATTAATTCCCAAGGTTCTTTTGTCGCATCCTCGGATTGTCCGCCTAAATTGGCGAGACCAAAAAACCAGAAAACTCTCTGGTCGGGCGAGACGACGGCTTTGCCTATCCCACCAGTGGACCAATCATCAGCCACTGATTGATCCCAACGCAGCCACGGGCCCTATCGGCTTGGTTGCTTCGACAGCCATCGGCGCTAACCCGGTTCCGGGTCTAGCGCGGGATGGTGGGAGAAAAGAAAAAAAATTTTGCAATGGTTGCCTCTCTTGGAGGGTTGGGCGGCGAAAAAGTAGTCCACAAACCGATAAATATCATCCATCCCCATCCACTTTTTTCCCCTCCTCCTCTCTCCTCTTACCATATCCCCTCCTATCTCCTTCAAAGAGGTCTGGTCCTCTCTTTTGTGAAAACTTGTGTTTTTTTTCCCTTTTGTCTTTTAGACAAATCAAAAAGTTAGATTTCCCTTCGGCCGTTTAGAGCGTGTTCTGTGTCTGCTTCGTCAAGACACAGTTTTTCGTGGGCCGTCACCTCTTATCGAGATACCCTAATAGAACGATTTTTTGACCGTTCTTGCTTTTTTCTCTTTTACATTCTTCCTCTTTTTCGAATTTACGATTTCCGACTTTCTTACGCCCAAAATGCCTGCTGCTGCTGCCTCTTCGGTTCCTGCTGTTTCCAGCAAGGAGACCGCTCAGTCTCTCTCTGTCCTCGAGGACTTGCTCAAGAACCTCAACATCTCCTCCTCGCAGGATGAGGTCAACGCCGCTACCGACAATATTGCTCACCTCCTTAGCGGCCTATCCCTGAACAAGCCCTCCCCCTGAAGTATGTTGGATACCCCGCTTCGAGAGAAAAATCTTCTCGAATCAGTTGACTAACGCAACCTAGGCTCGCCGAAGATCTCAAGAAGCAGCTCTCTAACAAGAAGGATGCCAATGCCCGCCAGCGCGCTTGTGACGCTATCCGGGCCGTTGCTTCCCACGCCACCATCGCCCCCGGTGTTGAGCCTCACCTCGTCACTCTTCTCCGCCCTGTCCTCACTGCCGTTGGTGACAAGATGACCAACGTCAAGGACGCCGCCCAGAGTGCCGCCATTGCCATTGTCAAGGGTATCAACGGCAACGCCGTCAAGGCTGTCATTCCTCCTATCCTCGAGTCTCTCGAGACTGCCCAGAAGTGGACTGAGAAGCTGTGCGCTCTTGAGTGCCTCAACTCTCTCATTGAGACCGCTCCCGCTCAGGTCTCTTGCCAGGTCCCCGCCCTGATCCCTGCTGTCTCCGAGGCCATGTGGGATACCAAGGCCGACATCAAGAAGGCCGCTTACTCCACCATGGAGAAGGTCTGCGGTCTTATCGTCAACAAGGATATCGAGCGCTTCATTCCCGAGCTCATTAAGTGTATCTCCAAGCCTGAGAACGTCCCCGAGACCGTTCACTTGCTCGGTGCCACCACTTTCGTTTCCGATGTCACTGGACCTACCCTCGCTATCATGGTCCCCCTGCTTGACCGTGGTCTTGTCGAGCGTGAGACTGCCATCAAGCGTAAGTCTGCTGTCATCGTCGACAACATGTGTAAGCTCGTCGAGGACCCTCAGATTGTCGCTCCTTTCTTGCCTAAGTTGATGCCTCGTCTTACTCACAACCTTGACACCCTTCCCGACCCTGAAGCTCGTGGCAAGACCGAGCAGGCTTTGGCAACCCTCAGCCGTGTCGGTGATGTCAAGGATGGCAAGATCCCTGAGATCTCCACCGCTGGTGACATCTCCACCGTTGCTGGTATCCTCAAGGACATCCTTTCCCCCAAGTTTGCCGAGCAGATCAAACAGTCCGAGGCCGTCATCAACTACGTCGGTGCCATCGCTGGTCAGCTTGTTGACGAGAAGGTTGGCGAGGTTGAGAGCTGGACTCAGAACGCTCTCCCCTACATCACCGCCATTGTCGGTGAGGAGGAAGCTAAGGCTGTTGCCGAGACCCTCCGCAAGCGTGCTTCTCCTGATGCCGCTGCTGAGGATGCTGTCCTCTCCGATGAGGAGGAGGGTGAGGATCTGTGCAACTGCACTTTCTCCCTTGCCTATGGTGCC